TGACCGATGTCATCATTCATTCATTCATCGCCAATAGAAATAATGAAGCATTTTTCTATAATCAAATTCATGATGAATGAACGATGAAGAAATGGCATTGTTTCTGTCTTTCTTTCTCTTTTCTTCTATATGCGGATGAATGCTGACAAAATTTCTTAACATCTATATGTAAATATTGCTTTATTTTAAGAAATGCAATGTGCGATATATCATCAGACGTCGGTGTCATGAACGAATCTCGTTGCTGTGGCAGTAAAAGAAGAATATCATACATAGAGTCCTATAATGATAATTAAACATATGGATAGAGAAAAGTTAAATCACTATATAGGTGCTTCGTGCCTTGAAAACTCGCGAAGGACTAAATCAATTTTGAGCCTCGTACTGCATTAAAAGAAAAGAAATTACCAGAGTATAAGAAACAGAAAACGATTATGATGAGATTTATCAACTTTCACAGATTTCTTTTTTATTTCATTTTAATTTATAATTTGAAATCGATCAAATTCGAAATAAGAAATTGACTACCTATACCGAAAGTGGAGTTCTTCAATTGTTAAAATTATCCGAAATCGGGAACGCAGTCCCGTTTCGTGGTACTAAAAATGAAATAAAAACGATTCCGACTCTGTAGCCGAAAGAGTAAATGAAATCAGAACTGCTAAATCACAAGATATATGCGGAAATTTTGAAACCAATTTTTCAAAATCTTATCTGCTAAATTGTTGACATTATAGACAGCTCAGATTTTATTACTTAGATAAGACAAAATTTCACATATGTACTAGAATCTTTAATCTAAAAACTTAGTTAATCAAGATTTCTGAAAAAAAGTTTTACTTTTTTTCATTTATCTATGACTGTACGCTTCTAGTTTTTTTTTTAACAACCAAACTAGTTAAAAATTGACACGAATATTGAACATAGATGTTTGTCCAATTGATAAATGATGCTTGATGATATAAAGTCGTTAATTGAAATAATGGCTATACACAAATCAATTCACATCTTTTTCTTTACTTATGGATCTTCTTTTTGGAAGAAATACTTTTCATCACATGTAGTCAATAGTTAAAGATAAGTTGTTTTAAGTTTACGTTACAAGCTGATAGATTTGTTTGGGTGNATGCAACAAAGAATTTTATCCTAAATGGCAGGGCTCGATATGAGCTAACTTTTTTGTAGCCCGGCTTGGCCCAAACTGCTTCAGGTATTGTGTAGATTCGCCTGGTTCGATTCACGTTTAGCTCAGACCAATCCAATAGGTTCGAAGGATATTTCATTTACCAAAATTTTTCTTTCCTAAGATAATTTAGATATCACTTCACTGTTTTACTGCATGTCAAAGATTTTTTGTACATATAACTCTGGATGTAATTATAAGTAAATGATTTTAAACTAGATTCTTTTGTCTATGTTTTCTCTTCGCTTAAAATTTTATCATTGTTCAAGCACCCGATCGGTGAATAATTTTTATCATTTCATTTCTTAGCAGTCTACTCTAATATATTATTGTCTGTGTAAAACTATTTCTTGAATTTGACGATACTAGATTTTACCTACGAAGACTTTTAGACACAGTTACAGAATTGTGACTTTATGATCATTTAACTCTTAAGAGAGCACCCATGAGTAGATCAAGCATCCGACTAGGTATCCAAGCACTCGTCAAAATTTAGTTTTCGAATTTAACAGTCTCATCGTGTTCAGCATGGTTTTAAACCTATAAATCCAAGTTTTTAGCGTATTTGGTTGAACTGTTAAAAAATTGACTAGGAACGACTTTGAAGCACCATCAAAAAAATTTTAAGAAAATTTTCAGCAATCATCTTTAACATTTGAGCTTTTTTTATACAACAAACAATCGATAAAAAATTTCGCATCATATATCAATAGATGGACCGTTGATCGCTGAACAAAATGAGCTATTCACATTTTCTATTTTAAACAAACCAATCCAGGATTATCTACTGAACATTATCGATGACTCATTATTTTTCGAACGAAAAAAAATTCAATTTTCTTCAATATTTTAGCTCTCGTTCAGCCATTTAATGAGTGCCCAGAATAAACTTTACAGATTATTGTAGAGCCAATTCTCGTCTACAAAATGATTGAAAAAAAGTTTAAAAAAACATTTAGGTTTTGGGTGAAAAATAGCTCACAATGATGACTACCAAAATTTCACTTGCAAAATAAAGTTTAAAAAAAATTTTTGTTTCTTTGAAAAATAAGACCTATAGTAAATAGTAAAGTATCTAACATACTTTTCACATAAGTACGATGCGTTTTTATGCATATATATTCTATAAAAACTAATGATTCAAACACTTGTCGTCGTCTATTGAGATAAACTCAATGACTTCATCTTTGATCATAATATAAATATGTTCAAAGATGAAAAATATGTTTGTTAGAGCTTTTTTAAATTTTTACATGTACTTTTGGAGTGACAAATACGTTTATAGCAACGAAAATATGAAAGCAATAATTATCTACTTACCTGATAAAAAAAAACAGGACTGTTTGCCACGGTGAAGCGAAATCTTTACCATGTTTCTCCTCTTCGGCACGTAGAGCCCGTCCTGTTCGAAGAGGAAAGACACGCTCGGAAAACCCGTGTCCCCCTATTTTAATGAG